CTCCATCAGCTTTGTCTCCCACCAGGAGTTGGAGGCTTCTAATTTGGGGCACGTTTTTCAAAATATTTCTTTCTCACAATATATATTCACTTACATCACAATACTTTACATCATCATTATTACTAATAGTAATAGTGGTTAAATAATTTAATAATTTACATGGAAAAGAATAAAAGAAAATGATTTCAAAGTATAGTTACATAATTATTGGTTGGAATTTCCAGTAGAAAATTTCAGTGTCTTTTCTGCTATTTTGCTAAGATTTTATAAGAATACAAACCAAATACTCCACTTTTCTCAGTTGTGCATCTATAGCTCATAGTTAATCATGCGAGTGAAAGATAACTGCCACAGCTTGAAACCCCATGCTGCTCCTGGCAAATCTGGCATGTCTGGAGGAGTTTGCCACAGTGACCAATAGGTGGAGGTGTAGGTTTGGGAAATTAGCCAGTTCATACTACAGCTCTTATTTCATTCTACTGAAGCTAGAAATTAAAGTTTTTCTCAATACTCTCATTTTTTTACAGCGTTTGTTAAACAAGACACATTTCCCCAATCAGCTCATACACGCAGCAAAACATTGCAACTAATGTAAAAAAAAAAGGTTGTAATTTAAAAACCTTTAACTGTTTATCAAAACAAACTATTTGCATTAAACTATAACACTGGTCAGCAGTTTGTTTTTTTTCCAGAGGTGAAATGTGACATTTCTTAATGACTTTGCTGAATCCAAATATAACAATTTAAATGCATGATTGGCTGTTTCCCACGATGTTGAATTTTTTTACATTTCACACTTATATACGTTGTAACATTTTAAAATAAATAAAAAAAAAACAGTTCCATGTAGAGACAAAATTACACCACAATACAAAGCAGCGTTGTTCAAGTTCGGTTCACACAAAGAGTCTGTTAACGGTAAATTTATCTGAGCTCCAGCCTGCCAGGCCAGACCAGCATGTTTGTGTTTAGGTGGGATAATGTTATGACATGAAACATGACATGTTGGTTTCTTCTTCTTGGCTGCATGTCTGTCTGTGGATCTCCACAACCAAACTTAGTTCATCACTTAACAATGTGGGGCACCAACAGTGAAAATGCAAATGTTTAATTTGCATATCATTGGTGCGCGCTCTGGGAGTCACGTCACTTAATATATTTTTAAAAAATCACGCAACTTTACTCTGCAGCATTACACATTTTCTGCTACTGGAAAGGACAAATTTAAGGTCACAGTACGGGTCAAAGGTCAAACAGAGAGAATATATTTAAATTTGATATTTGCCTCCACCTGGGCCACTTCTGTCAAAATTCAGGGCTTTACTTTATTTATTTATTTATTTCAGAATCACTGACTTTTTTTTACCCACGTGTCGCCAGGTGTCGAATTCTGCTGTGCAGAAGTAACACAAACCTTTTAAGGATTTTGCATGTTGTTTTAAGAAAAAACTTTGATTTGCATAAATCTGTAAAGATTTAAATTAGTTTCCAGCTCATGTAAATATCGCAGTATTGTTAAACTTGTGGTAACATTTTGTCTTCTTAGGACGGCCCTGCTGTTTTTCCTAATAACAGCCAGGGGTCTGACCTTGATTTTCCTGCTTTTTTGTGGTTTCTTTACCACAGTGACTTCTTTCTAATGCCTTATCCAACAATTGGATTGTTCGCACTAGATCGGTCTGCTCTAAATGGAAGCCAAGCCAGTAAAGGTTGACATAAGAGTTTATATTTCCTATACTGCCTCATCAGTTATCCTTGTTAGGGTATACTTTTTACTACTGAGCATTTCTCCTTCTTTGTTAGTGTCTGCACATGTTTCAGCACATTCAGGCAAATAATTAGGCACAACTGTCAATCGTTTGAACAGTTACTGCCTGTATAATATGTATGTTTAAATGAAATTGCATGTGACATGAGAAGCTACTTTCAGCTGCCTCCTCCTTCGTCACAAGAGGTCACCACAGCAGGTAGCTCTGCATATTTGGCTTGG